ATTAGTTTAACGATTTCCCATTGCTTATCTCATTGATACATGCGCTAATAATACTTTTTTTCGGTTTGCCTTAATACGTAATGCTCTATTGCTCATTGCTCATTGTTCATTGTTCATTGTTCATTGTTTACGTTAGTTTATTATTGCTGTTGCTTTTCGTTGTTGATGTTCTTCTTGTTTACCATATACAATATTTGTAAATAAGTTGTTTTTCTTTTTTTATCATATATCGAAGTATTAAGTCTTTTATTTTGTTTGTTTGTTGTTGTTTTTATTCGATTTTTTTGTATTTTTTTTTTAATTTCAAACTTTTCATTTTCGTTTGAAAACTATTTGTGTTAACGTGCTAAGTCTTTCTTTTTTGTTTAAACATTGCTTTGTTGTTGTTGTTCATATTTTTATTTATACAAAGTTTTTTGTTTCACTACGTTTTTAGCTTTCTATAAAAGATATAATACTAATAATAATAATAATGTTCTATATACAAAAGCCAGCAAATTAAATTTTCTGTTTTAAAATTTGACCAAGAGTAAGGGGAAGAGCAGGGGTCTGTGCTTTTAGAGTTCTTTTTCATTGTTATTTTTTTATGAGTTTTTCCTTCATTTGGCGCTGACCTAACGAGCGCTCGTTAAAAAAGAACAACAATGTTAGAAAAAGATAGAGACAGTGAGAGAGAAAGAGAGGGAGATTGAGAGTAGTACAGCAACAGATAATAGAAAACAATGGATCATGAATGCTAACGCTAATGCTAATGCCAACCAAAATACTGCATTCAACAATTTTTGTTTCTTTTCAATATTTAAAGTTGCGCTGGTATACAAAAAACTATTTGTATATATATAAATGTAATCAACTTTAACAATTTTTTGTTGCTTTTTATTTTTTCATTTACTCATTTAACAATATATGCCTTGATCCTTATTCGTAAAAGAAAACCTATAACATGTGCGTGTGTGGGTCAAAATCGATCAAACCCAAAATTGAAAACCATAAGAACGGGCACGATTTTTGAAAACAAAAATGTAACCGCCGATTTAGTTGGAGTAAAGCTTTTCCAAATATCATATATATATATATACATATACATATGTATGTATATATGTATATGCATATATATATATACACATATCTCAACTATATAGTTGTATATATATATATATATGCTAATGTACTACGTGTTGCATTTGGTTATGTTAAAAATTTCAAAATTTCAAAATTTCAAAATATGCATCAGGGTTATGTCCCCACTCAATTTATATGTATATATAATATTTTTACAACTACCTTTTATTGCTTCTCGATACACGTTATGTAGTATTTTTATTTTGTTTTCTTTTTTCCTGGAGCTCATATATTTGTTGAGCAAAATTAATGTATTTAATCAGCTTTTTGAATTTGTGTGTGTGTGTTGGTGTGTGTGGGAATATCACAACATTCGAATTGCTTTGCCTATTGACCTGCTCTCAACACAAATAATTGCCACAGGGTATATATATGTATATTTAAGAACACTTTTTCAGCTTGAAGAAAGCAAAGAGTCCAGTTGGAAAATAATAGAGAGAAAACATGAAAAAAATTAAAAGAAAAACCATTTTTTTTTGTATTGTGTAAGTATTTATGTATACATATATATATGCATATGTATATGTAAATGTATTGTATATTTAAAACATTATAATTGTTTTTGTTTGCTTTGTTTAAGTACAAGTGTGCTGTCTTCACTAATTTTAAATAGTTTCAACCTTAGATTTACTTAAATTCTAATAAATTGATTAACCATTATTTTATTGCTTTCATTCACATAATTAATTATGCATTTAAGTTGTTGTTTTTTTGTGTTTTTTTTTTTTTTGTTTTCTTTGTTCTTGTTTACATTGTTATACAAAATTTTAATATTATTGCCGGGCATTAATTAAACATGTTTCGCCTTTTGTAAATCTTAAATTAACTTTTAGCGTACAAAATAAAAAAAAAACAAATACAAAAATCGATAAATAATACAAATATTCAAATAATATTGCCACTGGCCAGAAAGGTTATTGCTAACAAAAAGGTTTATTAAGTGTTAAATAGGAAAGTCCAATGGAATATTGAATAGCCCAAGGGGCAGACGTTAGAGCGCTGCGTAGGAAACATTCTGTAGAGTCAAAACCTCTGTGACAATAAAATATTTTTAAAAAAATTTCAAATTGAATTGAAAATTTGAACTTTCAGAAAATATCTTTAAAAAAATGTTTTTTCTGCATCAAAATTTACTTGAAAAACTATTTGCAATTCCCTTTTCAACTTATTAGAAAACCTTTTTTGCTTCTTGTTTTTGTTGGCCAGTGTAATCCTTGGTAACTATGGCTATTAAGTAGCTTTTCGCTATTCGTTTAACTTTTATGCGCTTTGCATTTTACTTTTAAGTTTTAATTGAATATTTGTTGTTTGCTTTTGTTTTTCTTTCGTTTGTTTTTTGTTTTTTTGTTTTGTTGAGTATTGCTTTGGTACTTTAGCCGATTTCGATATCGATATCGTTATCGTTATCGATTATTGCATAAAAGTGTTCCACATGGGAGCAGAGAACTGTCCTTAGCTACTACGTTGTTAACAGTATAAAAATAATTTTGTGATGATTATACTTACTAGGTTAACTTAGGAGTACATGTATACTAGGTCTAAAATATTTATGTATATATTTATGCATGTGTATATATAATTGTAAATATTACGCAACTACATACGTATGTTCTAATGTTTGTATATAACTATATATATATATATATATGTATATATATATATATATATGTGAATATATATATATATATATATAGATTCCTTTTCGCTCGCTTAGACATACCAACAACTGGGTTTCTTTTTTGGTTTTTTAGTTTTTGACTGAGTTTCGATCTAAACTTGTTTTGTTTGCTACTCTTTAGGCTAAGTACTCTACGACAAAGTTCGTTGCACTTATGTTGTTGTTGTTGTTGTATTTTGAGATCGGTCGCTGAAGCTGATTTCAGTTGAGTGATATATAATAGATGTCTATATTAGGTTTAAATACTATTTACATATTTTGCTTTTGTGCTTGGGTGTAATTGCGTATAAATGAACATATGAGCTACATAATATAAATATAGGTTTAAGTAATATCGTACTAGGTAAGTTTTGTTTCGAAGAGTGCAAAAGAATTTCTTTGTTTCTTTCTTTGTTTGTTGTTTGTTTGTTTTTCTTTACGCATGGACGAAGTGTACTGTTAAATGCTTGAGACTAGATCACACTCGATATTCATATAGATTTTCTTCATCTGGCTTTTTGTTGTTGTTGTTATTCTTGTTTTTCACTCTTTTTGTGAGGGGCGATCGAATACGGACTTGAGTAACTATATGGGTATATAGGCTACAGCAAATCATGTTTGGTCTTATCGTGTTTTTGTTTTGTTTTGGTCGCTAATAGAAACACTGGAACTTTTTCTGGCGCCGTTTGAGTTAAGTGTTGTGATACTGATTAGAATTATGCACAGATTCCGAAAGGCTTTTGCAGTTCAGAACAGGTTCATAGATACTGAAATTTCTTTTTAAATATGCCTGAAGTTGTGCTCTAACAGTTTTCCAGTTCAGCAGCTGTAGCAAATATTCTTTTACATATCTGAAACAGTTTTAAGATTCTCTTTTTTTGCTTTATCAAAATATTAATTCGGAATCTATTCATAAAACAACCTCTGTCATTATCATATCACATTACTCTATTGGCCAATTCCTGGTTGTTCAGTGTTCACTTACAGAATGCAATGCTCTAAAACTAAAAACTGGTATTTAAGAAGAAATTCATCGTAACTTTGCCTTCATTAAAAATTAGAAAAAATTTGCTGTTAGACAGCGACTAGAAATTTTCATCTTCTATATTTTTATATGCTCTTCATATATATTTCTATATTATTATTATTATTATGTTTTGTAATTGCCTGGAATGCTAATTGACTATATGGCTAAACGCAAATTAGTTGCCCAAATCTCATTCTTTTCTGTTAACCCCTCGGCTTCCTCTTCTTCTTCTTCTATTCCCCATGTAACTCTAGCCTTTTAAATCATATGAAAACTCAAACAAAATCCGAAATTTTGTTCATGTGCCAATAATATGTTGATGCTTTTTAGTATACGATATATCCAATATCGTATATCGTATATAATATTGCTTTGCGTTCTCATTTTGATTAAATTTGTTTTTGAATTAAAATGTGTTTTTGTTTTTTCGTTTTTCAAGTGCATAAATGTTGCTATGTGACTTAGTTATATAAAATGATGTGAAAAATGTGGAGCTGAATTGCTTTAGTTTTTGTTTTTTTTTCTTTTTGTTTTTGTTTATCGTCTACTCTCTGGCGCTACTACTATACTGCTTATAGATAGGCTGCCCTTATAGATCTAATTCGTTGTTTGAGAAACATTGCATTTGCTTTTCGTATTCGTTGCATTAAATTTGTTTTAATCACTTCGTCTTCGATTAAAGATTAAAGAGAATTTTCTTGGTATTTGGTTAGGATATAGAGTTTTAGAGTTTAGAGTTTAGAGTTTAAGATTTTAGAGTTTAGAGTTTAGGGAGTAGAGCTAAAGACTACAAGTTTTTGATAGCTACAGGTTATAGTACATCATTTTTATATGTGTGTATGTATGTGTTTGTGTGTGTGTGTTTATATATTTTTGTTTAGATAGTTATAGAGAGATACATATATATATATATGTATATATATATATGTATATGTATGTATATATAGATATAGAATTGCTCAAGTTCTCAGGTTTTAAGTTTTTGCAATTACTGCAAAAGGCTTTCTGTGTATGGGTATTTAGAAGTTCAGCTTCTTCTTAAGTTTTCTATTATAATTGATTTTGTTTTTGTTTTTGGGTTCTAGGAATGTTTGTTTTTGTTCAACTCGCTTAAGACTAAAAGAAGAACGAGATTAGGTTTACGCTAAGTGTATTTAGTTTGCTTTTTTCTTTCATTTTTGTTTTGTTTTTTTTTTTTTGTTTAATGGTTTTCTAATGCGAATTTCTACAGTCTCTGTGTTACTCTACTACACTTGCTTTTGGACGTATTGTGATCGTATTCTTTATATATATATGTATATATAAAAACTGCTATCGATAACTGATTTTCAACATTAACGATCAATTAACAAGGGCATTGCTTTTACTTTGTTTTTGTTTTGGTTTTTTTTTTTTTTGGTTTTGTGTTTTTGTTTTTGGCAATGGCACACTTACTCAACATTTAGATGGCATAGGTGATGCCAACACCTGCTACTCCGGCAGGTGCCTCCACCTTGACCCGTTCGAGGAACTCGTGCGGAGGCGATGCCAAGCTGGCGCCACTTTCGCTATTGCTATCGGTGTGGCCATGCAGCGACATGGCCATCATTAGCTCCTCTTCGTCCTTGAGGCAGGCCGATTCCAGATGCTTGTTTAGGTACGATTTCAAAGCGAATGTCTTATGGCAGCGCTTGCACTCGAAATTCTTGTCCACCGAATGCGTCTGCATGTGAGCTCGCAAATTGGAGCGATCGGCAAAGGCCTTGCCGCAATGCGCACAACCGTAGGGTTTCTCGCCTGTGTGGGAGCGCAGGTGACCCTGCAGCAGCCAGGGCCGTGAGAAGAGTTTGCCGCAAACGCCGCAGCTGTGAGAGAGCTTGTGTGTAAGCACGTGCATGGCCAGAGCGGGCATCGAGACATACGCCTTGCCACAGGTATGACACTTTTTAGCTGACTGTGAGTCGAGGGAGCGATGCGTTTGCTTGTGGCGCGACAGATTGCTGGAGGTGGCGTACTGCTTGCCACACTCGGAGCAGGTGTATTTGGTTTTTTGCTGATCCTGCACAACGACGGCAGCTGGATCGGCCACATGCTTGCGCTTGGAACGCCCGTCGCTTACAAAGAAGGCCTCGTAGGTGTAGGCAACGGTTTTCGCTGCCTGACCGCTCGCATCGCCATCGGCATCCAAGTCTGGCTCGGCATGGCATTCCAGAGAGAGGCCCAATCCCAAGCCCAGGCCCAAGCCATGGCTAGTATGCAGTTGATTGGTTGTGTTGCTGTTCTCGTTCTGCACATTGCTGCTGCTGCTGTTGCTGTTGCTGTGATGGCTGCTGTTGCTGCTGTGCATGCTGCTGCTGGCGCTGGAGGCATTGCTCAAGGGGCGCTGCTCGTTGACCACGCTTGCTGCAGCAGCTAGCTCAGCAATTGTTGACGTGGTGCGCAAGTGCTGATGCTGCTGCTGCAGCGGCAACAGTTGCTGCTGTGGCTCATGCTGCTGTTGCAGCTGCTGTGGCTCATGTGGCTGCTGCTGCTGCTGCTGCAGCTGATGTGGCTGTGTGGGCGGATGAAAGGCTGTCGAGGCACTCAGATCGAGTATGGCGTGAGCTGCATGCAAGTCCTCCTCGGCTGGCACACGTCTGCGATAGCCATGCGTGGGCTTGTCGTCCAGCGAGTACGGCCTATAGATGTCCTTCTTCTTTGGCGGCAGCGACAATGTGGCACCTGTGCTGCTAAAGCACTTGCGCTCGCTGCTCGTCTGTCCAGATTCCATCTTAATGTGCAGCATGCCAGGACTAAATCTATCGCCATTTGGCGAACACGAAGGCGACGATGTGGTTGACGATGGCGGCGTTTGATAGGCAGCCAAATGTTGCTGCTGCTGCTGCTGCTGTTGCTGTTGCTCACCTGTGTGACTGTTGCTGTTGTTGTTGCTGGCTGCTGCTGCCACAAGCGCTGTGGCTGCTGCCCGTATAACCGTTATTTCGCTCTCCATGCGAGGCAGGTACGCGGTGTAATGCAGCGGCGACAGCTCACGTGTGTAGCCTGCCAAAGGTATGAGAAAAGCGGGAGAGAAAAGGTGAGAATTAGAGCTGCATGAAATATGTTCTTGATATTGAATAATGCTTGCATATGCTTAAATCTATGTATACTTTAGTATATATGAGAGTACAAGGCGAGGTGAGTTAGATCTAACGTGTTGCAGCAAGGCAAGACTGAGAAAGTTATATTGAAATCTTAGTCAAACTTGTATGGATTGAAAGGAGTTGTATGAGAAAGTAAAAAGCAAGAGGGAGCTAAGTTCTTTAAAGGTAAATTTGAAGAATTGAATGCAGAAATTGGAAGTGAATTCGAGCCTGTTGCGAATGCCTAATAATTGTTGCATACCCAGAGGCGCAGCTATGACGCGAAGGAAAACTATGTGAGAGCAACAGAAACTTTAAATATATTTTTGATATTTTTAATAATTCAGAAAGGTGCTCAAAGAAGTTATGATCTAGAAGAAGGTTAGCAAAGAATATAGTTTGGCAATCCAAAAAGTCATTTTAGCAAGGAATATTACTAGTCCTTATTTAATTTCATTAATTAATAGATACAATATTAACATCAAATATTGTGGAAACTTAATATGAAAAAATATGAAAAATATATTTTAATAAAAATAATAATATTTTAAATATTTTCGTATATATATATTATATTGTTTTGAATATACTATAATATTTAATATAAATCTATTTATCATATAAACTCTCAATAAAATAAGATTTAAATATGCATAATAAAAATATGTAAGTATATTATATAAATTTATAATTATTTATATATATCATTAAGCTCTATTCTAAATCTTATCCTGAATGTCTTGCTGCACTTACCATTGTAGACATTGGTTGTGCCACGTGTCGCTGCTTCTGGCGAATGGGGCGGCGGACTTGGCGCTGTGGTGCCCGCCGTTGGGGAGCTGGGACCCCAGCACTTGGCCGTAGTTGTTGCAGTAGTGGTTGATGTTGTTGTTGTTGCTGTTGTGCTGTTGTTGTTGTTGTTGTTTGTTGCTTCTGTTGCTGCTGTGGCTGTGGCGGTTGCTGTTGCTGCTGCTGCTGTAATAATTGTGCGTTGCTTGTCGGATTTGGTCAATAGCTTGTCGCCCACAACATCGATCTCCTCATCGTCGTCCATGGTGGAGCGACGCGACTTCAGATTGGGCAATGGGGACAGCTGCTCCTCCCTTGAAGCTGTTGCTGTTGGTGTGTTGTTGGCATTATCCTCGATATTGCGATCCAGCCAAGGATATGCCTTCCATTTCTTGGCAATCAGGCAGCGCGGCATTTTGAGTTATGTTGAGTTGATTGATTGAGTTGAGTTGAGTTGAGTTGATTGAGTGATTGAGCGGTGTTTTTGTATTTGTTTGCTTGTTTTTATTTTAGATTTAGAGGCAAGTTTAGTGTTAAGTGCTGAAGCGAGTGTTTTGTTTCGTACGAGCAAAGACCTTCGTAGTGGGTATTTTGTTTTGGTGGCAAAAGCGGAAAGGAAAAATGTTGCAGTTCCTATTTCGCATGTGAAAAATATATATATTTATATAGATTGGCTCGCCGAAATGAATAGAGTTTGTTTTTACAGTTGTCTTAAATAGAGTTTCGCATAGTTTCGCCTTCCTTTCCTTCTCTCTCCTTCTCTCTCTATCTGCCACGCTCTTTATTAAATCATAATTCAATATTTTATATTGCTTTTTATTGTTTCATATATATAGAAATATATATATATAAGTGTTGTTGATAAATTGGTTTGCGGTTCAGTTTGGGGTTCTCGATTCGGTTTTTGGTTAGGATACTTCAAATTTCACAGCCACTTTACACATTTCTGCGCTTTTATTTGAAACTCTCCGAACGGCAGAGAGTTGTGTGTAGTTCTTAACTTTTTCTTTTTTTGGTCAAGTTTTCGGGTTTTTTGTGTGTTGTTTTTTCCTTTTATTTTTGGGGCTTTTGCGTTTGCGTTGGCTGCGTGTGGTTTATCGATTTTTACATTTGCGTTTACGTTTACGTTTACGTTTTTGTTTTTTTTTTTTACACAACGAGGAAGGGGGGTTCTTAAAACATAACGGTTCGGTCAACTGGTAGGGGTTTACATGGGTAATTGTATTGCTCCATATATATATACAGATATCCTTTGGCTTTGTTGTTGTTGTTGTTATTGTTATTGCTTGTTGATTTATTTATGTTTTGTTAAACAATTCTCAAAGCAAAATATTATTGTTGTTGCCGAAATAAATGAGTTTCGATACTTGTTTATAGTTTTTGTTTGAGTTTGAAGTTTTTATAAAACAGAGAAAGAAAGACGTTAAAAGTTGTAAAAGTTTAGATTAGTTGACACGAGTTGTTGTTGTTGTTTGTTGGTTGTTGTGAAAAGTTGAGTTAAGTTGTTGTAATTATTGTTGTTGGTAGAGTGAAAAAATTGATTTAGGAGAAAATATAATATTATATAAGATAGAGAAGAAATGCGAACGAACCGAACGTAAGCAACTCTTGAATGCTTATGAGAATATAACTGAACGAAACGTTGCTTATAAGGGTTGCCGAACGAAATCGAAACGAAGAGAGCGTAGCGAAACGGAACGTAATGGCATAGCCATGGAACAGCCCCTAAACAACCCCCAAGCAAAAAAAAAAACAACATCGTCACAAGCGTAGCTGTTGCGTGTCCTTTAGGGCAGCTGCACACGTTCCAAAGGGGAAGTGCCTCAAAAAGTTTTCGCCTGAATTTATTTAATTTACATTCTTAAAAAAATATTTAAATTAGGAAAAAATAAAATTTAGAAAAATTAATTGCAATTTTTGTATAATTAATTCTTGCCCATGTTTGATCGTGTATGTGGAGCCATGACTAAGGAAGTGTGTTCCATATTCCCATGCGTTCCACTTCGCCTTTTTCCTCCAATTGTTGCGTCGTCCCTCTCTCTCTCGCTCACGCTCTGGCTCTGGCTCTGTCGCTCGGTCTTCGCCATGGCTTGTACCTGAATTGTGGAATTGGCTCATGGCTCCTTTTTTGTTATTGAACAAAAATATATTTTTGGGGGTGGATTTTTGCAACAGCGTCTCCTTTCGTATGTGGCAGTTGTGCCGAGTTAATTGCTCTTGCTGTTGCATTGCATTTGTTGCTGAACTTTGATTTTGAACAAATTGCCAAAAATGACGGGCGACCGAAGAGAGGGCCGAGAGGAGTGGAAAGGAGGGTGGGCAGGGTCGATAGGTTAGTGGGGTGGCAGGGGCGAGGTGTAGCAGCAACAGTCGTCGGATTGTGGCATTGTTGATTGCTAGCAGCAGTAGCAGCAATAGATGTGGCAAATGGAAGAGGTAAAGGACAAGGGGCTTGCTGCTGAGTGGGTGGGGTTACTCGCTGGCAATACATTAAAGCATTTCAACTTGGGCGTAGGATTTTTTGGTATATCAAAGGTCAGGATATGTTTGAAAATTTACGATTTCACTCAAGCTCGAGTTCAAAGCTAAATTAAAAATATATGAGAAATAGATGTATATATAGACAAATGCATGTACTGATATATATAGACTTCGTTTTGTGATGGAAAATATCGTTGTAAGCTTTTAATAAATATTAATGGGCAAGCCTGTTGTAATTGGGTTGTTTACTATATAAAGTCCTTGTATATTTAGACACTTTGCCGGCTTAGTAGGTGTATAATGTAACTTTTCTGACTTTAATGAGATATATATAGCTTTATAATAGAACAATTTTTGGTTACGCTTGGCCTGACCAATTATAGTTAAGTTTTAATACAATAAAATAAAAGAAAAATTTATGATATTCAAAAATTGGCATAAAATATGATTATTAAATTAAATAAAATTATAAAGTTAGTTTGTAATTATAAAATAAAAAAACAGTAGTAATAATAAATATTCAAATTAATAATGCTTATAATTTAAAACTATATAAAAAATAATATAAAATTAAAAGTTTTCAAAATAAAAAAATTAATACTAATAATACTTGACCATAAAAAAATTAGTTATATTAACAAAAAGGATTTTTCCATTCAAATGAATTTTTTAAAATATTTTTGAGGTGTTATATAATTTGAATATAATTTATGTTAGCTAATAGCCTTTTTAATTTAAGAAAATATTTATAAGACTCTTCCCTCATGCCTATTCTCCAGCTGCTCTTACTTTCAGCTTAAGCCTTGGATAATTAATAAGGACATAGAGTGCCAAAAAAGAGAGAAAAATTAAGAGAAACTTTTATTTGGTGCTCTGCTCAACTGTCGCAGCCAATGAGCTTAGTAGGCAAAAAATATGATTTATTAAATTTAGTTTTTTTGTTTTTGATTTGTTGTTTCCTTCTTTTTTGTGGAGCTGCTTAAAAGTGCTTCAACATTTTAGGAAACATTTGACTCGGTTAAAGGAAATAACATATCGCAGCTTATTTGACAGATGGAAACCCCTTATTTATATGGCCTCTTGAGTATGAGGCACTCAAGTATTTGTTGTTGTTGAAAAAGCCAAGAAATGCCAATCCATCTAGCTGTCAGACCCTAAGGACCTCTTAGCATATACAACATACCATATATTCTCCTTGAAATGTAACGTACAGACCATCTGTGGAATTTTCGTTGCACTAATTACAATTGGGCACCTCTATGGAAGCCCTAAATATGCGACCAAGTACCAAGTCCTCTTAGTGAAACCCATGAAGCACATGGTAAACTCCCTCTATCTTTCTCTCTCTCTCACTCCCTCTCTTTCTTACTCTAAATTGTAATCTGCTTTTCCAGCTAAGAGGCAAGCTTGTCGGCGACCCTTTGCGACGCCAAAGTTGTTGCGCTTCGTTAGCCGCTTTAGGGGGTGGCAACTGTATGGAAATTGAAAATGTCTATGAAAATATGATCGCGGATCGGTGAGCGAGGCACGCGCAGCCGCAGATGCACTGAGGCGAGCAGCATACATACGTAAAAGCCATATGGCAGTCGGTCGGGCTGGGTAGGAGCCACGCGTCACGACAGGAAACAAAATTATGCAGCCGACGCAAAGCGAGATTCGTTCACCTGGAACAAGGAGCAGGGCAGCGTAGTACAGGACAATATGGTTACAGCTTTTCCTGTTTCCAAAGCGTTATTAGCGTTAGTTTAAGGGTAAAATACATTTATACAAAAGGTGCAATCTAGCGCCCAAGCGGGGATCCAGTTGAGCGCGTTTGCGAGCGTGCAAAAAACAGGAAATGCTCTACAAGTGCAGCTGCCCAAAAGACTGGCCTAAAGGACACCCAGCGTCTGTGGGTGGGCGTTGCGCCTGCAGAAATTTGTCAGCTTGCCAAACGCTTTTGCTTTTGCTGTTGCAGTTGCTGTTGCTGTTGCTGTTGCCTTTGGCGTTGCCTAGCGAAATAGAACGAACTGCCAGACGCCCCTCTTTCGCCTTAACATGAGTCAACATGGTATATTGTTTTTGTGAAAATATATGTAACAGGCAGTCGAAGGCTTAGCTGACCTTATATTTGTATAAAATATAATCTTGCTTAGCATAATTGAGCTGAGTTGATTCAGCTTTCCGCCTGCCTGACTGTCTGCTGTCAGTCCGAATATACTAATTGATTTCTCCTAGAACAGCTGGGGGCTTGCAAAATTATCGCTGTCTTTTTTTGTTCTCCCATAAATCGAAGTTCTATATTCAATTATTCCAGCATATCTCATGTATTTTCATTACTAACTTTTACATTAAATGCAGAATAAAAATTTTGATGTACATATATAGGGTAATCGCTAGTCGAGCAGTCCCGACTAGAGTATTCTCACACTCCTTTTTTGGCCACTAAAATGCCGCATTCACGTATCGAAACGAAGTGTGACGCTCGCTTGTGGCACGGGCCACGGAAGTGGCAGCTGTAACAGAAATAGAAACAGAGACCAAAAAAAAAAACTGTTGATCCTGCTGCTGTTGCTGCGCCCATTGTAAAGGGTACCAGGTGCTTGGCATGCTCTTTCTGTTTTCCTTTCAATGATGTATTAAAGTGGAAACAAGCACGAGTTGTTCCTGTCTCTCTTTCTCTGTCTCTGTCTCTCTATTTCTCTCTTATTTTCTCTTCTTTGCCTGTCTGTCTGTCTGGCTGTTTGAGTTTTTCCCAAATGCTGTTTGTTCCTGTTTCTGCTATAATTTCATTGTTACTCCTTTTTGAACTGCTTTGCAACCACCCCATCAGCGTTATCATCATCAGCAACAGCAACATCATTATCAACGCCATCATCGCCATCAGCAACAGCGACAGCGACAGCAACAGCAGCAACACCAACACCACCCAGCAATCAACCCCCTCTCAGCGTTTGCCATTTGGCGTCTACATAGAAACAGCAAACAGGTAAAGCAGCAACAGCAACAACAGCAAAAACAACTACAACAATTGCAGCAGCAACATTTCGTGTGCCTGTTTCATTAGCAATAAAAACAGCAGCAACAAAAATTTAAAAAAAAATATGAATGTGCTAACAGGGAGGTACTGACTAGTAGTTACCCTGCTACTGCAGTACTACTAGATACTAGATACTAGATACTAGATACTAGATACTAGATACTAGATACTAGATACTAGATACTAGATACTAGATACTAGATACTAGATACTAGATACTAGATACTAGATACTAGATACTAGATACTAGATACTAGATACTAGATACTAGATACTAGATACTAGATACTAGATACTAGA